ATGGGGCAATGGCATGGGGAAATGGCATGGCATGGGGGAATGGCATGGCACGGGGGAATGGCATGGCATGGGGGGATGGCATGGCATGGGGGAATGGCATGGCATGGGGGAATGGCATGGCATGGGGGAATGGCATGGCATAAAGAAGTTGCAAGATGAGCGGATGATGCCATGGCAGGATGATGGCATGGCAGGATGATGCCATGGCAGGATGATGCCATGGCAGGATGATGCCATGGCAGGATGATGCCATGGCAGGATGATGCCATGGCAGGATGATGGCATGTCATGTCAAATATGGCAGTGCCACTTTCTGACAATCGAACTGCCATTGTGTGCACCCAGCCTCCTCTAGTCCTTTCACCGCAACACCACAGGCTCGAGACACTTACAGAACGAAATGAGCACCCTGCATCCCCCCTCTTTCCACATGTGCCTTCCTCTGCGCCCTCCATAACAGCGATACACACTATCAGTGCACTGACAAACGTGTGCCAACCAAGTACACCTATCTTCCTCTTCTCTCTAATTACCTGAAATAATAGCTCTTCGTGTTCACTTTGTCAGTGCTGCAATCCAAGTGCACTTATCTTTCTCTTCCCCTTCCTGTCCCCTGCTGCTGCTGCAGAGTGACATGATATGGGACTCTAGCAGTGGTATTCATGGACTCGAAGCATAACTCGTGCCACATGACCAATAAAGCCTGGGCGTTTGTAAGTACCCACCTCTAACGCATAATGAAATATTTCAACGTCACGATAATCTTATGCGCCTATGCCTCTCTGTGCGATACCGTAAATCAGTTCTTTACCTTCACTTTCCTGCCTCACTGGAATCCTCTCATTCATGTATGCTTCCAGTTTGGGTTTCTTCCTCCTATGTGTTACCACGACAAGGCTTCTGCCCTCACAACCAATCTTGCATCTGCTCTCACATCCGCTCACATGTGTTTAACCTGCGCTTGCTTTACTGTTTCTGGAGTGCTGTCAGCAGCAGCTCCTGACCCCTTATGACTGAACCGCAGTGTGTGCTTCTGTTTTCTTCACTTCTCCATCTGTGCTACCAGCAGTGTTCTTCCCCTGCCTCACAAAATTCTCTCCCTTTCGTGTATGCTCTCAGCCTGATCATATCCCATCGATGCTTTACAACGAAATGCTTCCGCTCTCACAACCGATCTTGCATCTCCTCTCACATGCGCTCACATATTCTTTGTCTGCACTTACTCCGCTGTCTCCAGAGTGCTGTCAGCAGCAGCCCCTGCCCCCTTATGTCTGAGCCGCAGTGTGTGTTTCTTTTGTATCCACTTCTCCATCTGTGCCACCAGCAGTGATTCTTCCCAGCCTTGTCATCAGTGGTTTGCCATTCACTAGCCCTGACACGCTGAGAAGGGGATGGTGGTTGAGGGGACGTGTATGGCGGAGGTGTGGGCGAGTTGTCTTGCCAGGTATGTACTGCACACTCCTAGTTCAAAGCCGCCCTAGCTCAGTTGGTAGAGCGCAAGGCTCTTAACCTTGTGGTCGTGGGTTCGAGCCCCACGGGCGGCGAGGTGTTTGTGAGTGCCTTGGGTCTATAAGATGTTTGTACCGTTCGTTTTGGCGATTTGTGGTAATATTGTATGCAAGATTCAGACACGCAGGTGCACATATGGCACGAGGGAATGGCATGGCACGAGGGAATGGCCTGGCACTATGGAATGGCCTGGCACTATTGGAATGGCCTGGCACTATGGAATGGCCTGGCACTATGGAATGGCCTGGCACTATGGAATGGCCCGGCACTATGGAATGGCCCGGCACTATGGAATGGCCTGGCACAAGGGATTGGCCTGGCACGAGGGATTGGCATGGCACGAGGGATTGGCATGGCACGAGGGAATGGCATGCCACGGGAAATGGCATTGCATGGCACGGGAAATGGCATTGCATGGCACGACATGGGGGAATGATGTGGGAGAATGGCATGGTATGGCACGGGGAGTGGCATGGTATGGCAGTGGGAGTGGCATGGCCTGGCATGGAGGAATGGTATGGCATGGCATGGGGAAATGGCATGGTATGGCATAGGGGAGTGGCATGTCATGGCATGGGGTAATGGCTTGGGGAAATGGCATGGCGTGGGGTAATGGCATGGCATGGGGAAATGGCATGGCATGGGGAAATGGCATGTCATGGGGTAATGGCATGGGTAATGGCATGGCATGGCATGGGGTAATGGCATGGGGAAATGGCATGGCATGGGGGAGCGGCATGGCATGAGGGAGTCGCAAGATGAGCGGATGATGGCATGCCAGGATTATGGCATGTCATGTCAGATATGGAAGTGCCACTTTCTGACAATCAAACTCCCATTGTGTGCACCCAGCCTCCTCTAGTTCTTTTCACCGCAACAGCACAGGCTTTAGACACTTACAGAACGAACGGAACATCCTGCATCCCCCCCTTTCCATGTGCCTTCCTCTGCGCCCTCCATAACAGCGATACACACTATCAGTGTACTGACAAACGTGTGCCAACCAAGTGCACCTATCTTCCGCTTCCCCTTAATTACCTGAAAGAACTGCTCTTCGTGTGCAATTTGTCAATGCTGCCAACCAAGTGCTCCTATCTTCCTCTTCCCCGCCTTTTCCCCTACTGCTGCTGCAGAGTGACATGATGATATGGGACTCTAGCAGTGATCTTGACGGTTTCAAAGCATAACTCTTGCCGCAATCACCAACAAAGCCTGGCCACTGTCAACGTGTTTGTAAGTACCCAGCTTAGACACATACTGCACCTTTTCAAGGTCAAGTCAAATTTCTATTGCTTTAGGGACTTGGGCTATCAGAAACGCACTATGAGCTTCTGTCCCTATGCCTCTCTGTGCGATACCGTAAACCAGCTATTAACCTTACCTCCGCTGCTTCGAGAGAATATTCCCGTTCATGTATGCTCCCAGCCTGGTTGTCTTCCTCCTATGTCTTACCACGACAAGGCCTTTGCTCACACAACCAATCTTGCATCTGCTCTCACATCCGCTCACATGTTGTTTAATCTGTGCTTTCTCTCCAGTTTCTGAATTTCTGTCAGTAGCAGCCCCTTACGTCTGAACCACAGTGTGTCCTTCCTTTGTCTCTGTTCTCCACATGTGCTACCAGCAGCGATTTTCCCCCAGACTCGTCATCACTGGTTTGCTACTCATTAGCCATGACAATGTGAGAAGGGGACGGTGGATGAGGGGATGTGCATGGGTGGGTATGATGAAACGGAAGGAATGGATGATTGGGCTCATACATGGATGGGTGAGGAGGGATGGAACCATTGAAGGTGGCCGAGGTGAGCTAGGGTGATTTTATTTACAATGTAACGTACGAACTTGATACGTAGCCGCCCTAGCTCAGTTGGTAGAGCGCAAGACTCTTAACCTTGTGGTCGTGGGTTCGAGCCCCACGGGCGGCGTTCTATGTGACGACGCCAGGTCTAGGTGAGTCGTTTTTGGTTTTGGGGAACTTTGTGGGTTTGTGGGGGGGGTGGTGTCCAGCGCGTTTGTCCTTCATTCGTTTTGTTGTGGTTGTTTTTTTGCATCACGGTGCAAAAAGGTGAAGCTTGAGAACCGCTGTCACCATCTGGAATTGTCGTGCGACACGATGGATGAACTGAAAACGAGAGTGCTGGACCCGCCCTTAGCAGATCGGGACAAGCAGATTTTTATGGAATGGCATGGCTTGGGGAAATGGCATGGCTTGGGGAAATGGCATGGCTTGGGGAAATGGCATGGCTTGGGGAAATGGCATGGCTTGGGGAAATGGCATGGCTTGGGGAAATGGCATGGCTTGGGGAAATGGCATGGCTTGGGGAAATGGCATGGCTTGGGGAAATGGCATGGCTTGGGGAAATGGCATGGCTTGGGGAAATGGCATGGCTTGGGGAAATGGCATGGCTTGGGGAAATGGCATGGCTTGGGGAAATGGCATGGCTTGGGGAAATGGCATGGCTTGGGGAAATGGCATGGCATGGGGAAATGGCATGGCTTGGGGAAATGGCATGGCTTGGGGAAATGGCATGGCTTGGGGAAATGGCATGGCTTGGGGAAATGGCATGGCTTGGGGAAATGGCATGGCTTGGGGAAATGGCATGGCTTGGGGAAATGGCATGGCTTGGGGAAATGGCATGGCTTGGGGAAATGGCATGGCTTGGGGAAATGGCACGGAATGGAATGTCTTGGGGAAATGGCACGGAATGGAATGTCTTGGGGAAATGGCACGGAATGGAATGGCTTGGGAAAATGGAATGGAACGGCGTGAGGAAATAAATGGAATGGAACGGCGTGAGGAAATGGCATGGAATGGCATGGCAGGGCATGGGGAATAACATGGGGAACATGGCATGGGGAATGACATGGGGAGCAGAGCATGGGGAATGACATGGGGAACAGAGCATGGGGAATCACATGAGGAACAGGGCATGGGGGAATCACATGGGGAACAGGGCATGGGGAATGACATGGGGAACAGGGCATGGGGAATCACATGGGGAACAGGGCATGGGGAATGACATGGGGAACAGGGCATGGGGAAGACATGGGGAACAGGGCATGGGGAATGACATGGGGAACAGGGCATGGGGAATGACATGGGGAGCAGGGCATGGGGAATGACATGGGGAACAGGGCATGGGGAATCAAATGGGGAACAGGGCATGGGGAATCACATGGGAAAATGGCATGGCAGGGCATGGGAAAGACATGGGGGAATGACATGGCAGGGCATGGGGAATGACATGGGGGAATGGCATGGCGGGGCATGGGGGAATGGCATGGCAGGGCATGGAGGAATGTCATGGCAGGGCATGGGGGAATGGCATGGCAGGGCATGGGGGAATGGCATGGTAGGGCATGGGGGAATGGCATGGCAGTGCACGGGGGAGGGACAAGGCATGGGGGAATGACAATCTAAATATGTCAAGAATTTGTGATAATTCCGAATTGTCCAGCCGCCCTAGCTCAGTTGGTAGAGCGCAAGGCTCTTAACCTTGTGGTCGTGGGTTCGAGCCCCACGGGCGGCGCTTGTCCTTGCTGGAAGAGGTTTTGGTCCATGCTTCTATAAGCGCGTGCTCACCAAAGCTGGGATAATTTGCTACGCTCTTGCACCGCTTGCCAATGCTCTTGCACCGCTTGCCAATGCTCTTGCACCGCTTCCCAATGCTCTTGCACCGCTTGCCAATGCTCTTGCACCGCTTGCCAATGCTCTTGCACCGCTTGCCAATGCTCTTGCACCGCTTGCCAATGCTCTTGCACCGCTTGCCAATGCTCTTGCCCCGCTTGCCAATGCTCTTGCACCGCTTGCCAATGCTCTTGCCCCGCTTGCCAATGCTCTTGCCCCGCTTGCCAATGCTCTTGCACCGCTTGCCAATGCTCTTGCACCGCTTGCCAATGCTCTTGCCCCGCTTGCCAATGCTCTTGCACCGCTTGCCAATGCTCTTGCACCGCTTGCCAATGCTCTTGCACCGCTTGCCAATGCTCTTGCACCGCTTGCCAATGCTCTTGCCCCGCTTGCCAATGCTCTTGCACCGCTTGCCAATGCTCTTGCACCGCTTGCCAATGCTCTTGCACCGCTTGCCAATGCTCTTGCACCGCTTGCCAATGCTCTTGCACCGCTTGCCAATGCTCTTGCACCGCTTGCCAATGCTCTTGCACCGCTTGCCAATGCTCTTGCACCGCTTGCCAATGCTCTTGCACCGCTTGCCAATGCTCTTGCACCGCTTGCCAATGCTCTTGCACCGCTTGCCAATGCTCTTGCACCGCTTGCCAATGCTCTTGCACCGCTTGCCAATGCTCTTGCACCGCTTGCCAATGCTCTTGCACCGCTTGCCAATGCTCTTGCACCGCTTGCCAATGCTCTTGCACCGCTTGCCAATGCTCTTGCACCGCTTGCCAATGCTCTTGCACCGCTTGCCAATGCTCTTGCACCGCTTGCCAATGCTCTTGCACCGCTTGCCAATGCTCTTGCACCGCTTGCCAATGCTCTTGCACCGCTTGCCAATGCTCTTGCACCGCTTGCCAATGCTCTTGCACCGCTTGCCAATGCTCTTGCACCGCTTGCCAATGCTCTTGCACCGCTTGCCAATGCTCTTGCACCGCTTGCCAATGCTCTTGCACCGCTTGCCAATGCTCTTGCACCGCTTGCCAATGCTCTTGCACCGCTTGCCAATGCTCTTGCACCGCTTGCCAATGCTCTTGCACCGCTTGCCAATGCTCTTGCACCGCTTGCCAATGCTCTTGCACCGCTTGCCAATGCTCTTGCACCGCTTGCACCCGCTTGCCAATGCTCTTGCACCGCTTGCCAATGCTCTTGCACCGCTTGCCAATGCTCTTGCACCGCTTGCCAATGCTCTTGCACCGCTTGCCAATGCTCTTGCACCGCTTGCCAATGCTCTTGCACCGCTTGCCAATGCTCTTGCACCGCTTGCCAATGCTCTTGCCCCGCTTGCCAATGCTCTTGCCCCGCTTGCCAATGCTCTTGCACCGCTTGCCAATGCTCTTGCCCCGCTTGTCAATGCTCTTGCCCCGCTTGCCAATGCTCTTGCACCGCTTGCCAATGCTCTTGCACCGCTTGCCAATGCTCTTGCCCCGCTTGCCAATGCTCTTGCACCGCTTGCCAATGCTCTTGCACCGCTTGCCAATGCTCTTGCACCGCTTGCCAATGCTCTTGCACCGCTTGCCAATGCTCTTGCCCCGCTTGCCAATGCTCTTGCACCGCTTGCCAATGCTCTTGCACCGCTTGCCAATGCTCTTGCACCGCTTGCCAATGCTCTTGCACCGCTTGCCAATGCTCTTGCCCCGCTTGCCAATGCTCTTGCACCGCTTGCCAATGCTCTTGCACCGCTTGCCAATGCTCTTGCACCGCTTGCCAATGCTCTTGCACCGCTTGCCAATGCTCTTGCACCGCTTGCCAATGCTCTTGCACCGCTTGCCAATGCTCTTCCAGGCTTGACTTTGAGCCTAGCGCATTTCCCTTTATTTCTCCTGCGTGCATGTCCTGCCTGCGTGCATGTCCTGCCTGCGTTCAAATCGTCTCCTCATGGCACCCCACTCGTCCCACATCTCGAGGGATTGGGCTCTCTATATTTCAGATTCTGGGGTGTGCATGATGCCGCCCAGCAGGAAGGCATATTCCCCTTTATACACCATGCTTCACGCTTCAACCTTCATGCTTGTCCGCTGCTCCCCTGTAACTCCCTGCCCACCCCCGCCCCTCTTGTTCCCCGCGCAGACGTGTACGACCGCATGGTGCCGCCTGGCAGGAAGGCCACCTTCTTCCACATGCTCGCCACCATGCTCGTCAGCGCTGTCTCCCACGTGAGTCACATGCTCCCTTGTCGTCTCCCACGTGAGTCACATGCTCCCTTGTCGTCTCCCACGTGAGTCACATGCTCCCTTGTCGTCTCCCACGTGAGTCACATGCTCCCTTGCCGTCTCCCACGTGAGTCACATGCTCCCTTGCCGTCTCCCACGTGAGTCACATGCTCCCTTGCCGTCTCCCACGTGAGTCACATGCTCCCTTGCCGTCTCCCACGTGAGTCACATGCTCCCTTGCCGTCTCCCACGTGAGTCACATGCTCTCTTGCCGTCTCCCAGGTGAGTCACATGCTCCTTTGCTGTCTCCTACGTGAGTCACATGCTCCCGTGCCGTCTCCCATGTGAGTCACATGCTCCTTTGCTGTCTCCCACGTGAGTCACATGCTCCCGTGCCGTCTCCCATGTGTGTCACATGCTCCTTTGCTGTCTCCCACGTGAGTCACATGCTCCCGTGCCGTCTCCCATGTGTGTCACATGCTCCTTTGCTGTCTCCCACGTGAGTCACATGCTCCCGTGCCGTCTCCCATGTGTGTCACATGCTCCTTTGCTGTCTCCCACGTGAGTCACATGCTCCCGTGCCGTCTCCCATGTGTGTCACATGCTCCTTTGCTGTCTCCCACGTGAGTCACATGCTCCCTTGCCGTCTCCCACGTGAGTCACATGCTCCCTTGCCGTCTCCCACGTGAGTCACATGCTCCCTTGCCGTCTCCCACGTGAGTCACATGCTCCCTTGCCGTCTCCCATGTGAGTCACATGCTCTCTTGCCGTCTCCCAGGTGAGTCACATGCTCCTTTGCTGTCTCCTACGTGAGTCACATGCTCCCGTGCCGTCTCCCATGTGAGTCACATGCTCCTTTGCTGTCTCCCACGTGAGTCACATGCTCCCGTGCCGTCTCCCATGTGTGTCACATGCTCCTTTGCTGTCTCCCACGTGAGTCACATGCTCCCGTGCCGTCTCCCATGTGAGTCACATGCTCCTTTGCTGTCTCCCACGTGAGTCACATGCTCCCGTGCCGTCTCCCATGTGTGTCACATGCTCCTTTGCTGTCTCCCACGTGAGTCACATGCTCCCGTGCCGTCTCCCATGTGTGTCACATGCTCCTTTGCTGTCTCCCACGTGAGTCACATGCTCCCGTGCCGTCTCCCATGTGTGTCACATGCTCCTTTGCTGTCTCCCACGTGAGTCACATGCTCCCGTGCCGTCTCCCATGTGTGTCACATGCTCCTTTGCTGTCTCCCACGTGAGTCACATGCTCCCGTGCCGTCTCCCATGTGTGTCACATGCTCCTTTGCTGTCTCCCACGTGAGTCACATGCTCCCGTGCCGTCTCCCATGTGTGTCACATGCTCCTTTGCTGTCTCCCACGTGAGTCACATGCTCCCGTGCCGTCTCCCATGTGTGTCACATGCTCCTTTGCTGTCTCCCACGTGAGTCACATGCTCCCGTGCCGTCTCCCATGTGTGTCACATGCTCCTTTGCTGTCTCCCACGTGAGTCACATGCTCCCGTGCCGTCTCCCATGTGTGTCACATGCTCCTTTGCTGTCTCCCACGTGAGTCACATGCTCCCGTGCCGTCTCCCATGTGTGTCACATGCTCCTTTGCTGTCTCCCACGTGAGTCACATGCTCCCGTGCCGTCTCCCATGTGTGTCACATGCTCCTTTGCTGTCTCTCACGTGAGTCACATGCTCCCTTGCCGTCTCCCACGTGAGTCACATGTCCTTTGCTGTCTCCCACGTGAGTCACATGCTCCCGTGCCGTCTCCCATGTGTGTCACATGCTCCCTTGCCGTCTCCCACGTGAGTCACATGCTCCCTTGCCGTCTCCCACGTGAGTCACATGCTCCCTTGCCGTCTCCCATGTGAGTCACATGCTCTCTTGCCGTCTCCCAGGTGAGTCACATGCTCCTTTGCTGTCTCCTACGTGAGTCACATGCTCCCGTGCCGTCTCCCATGTGAGTCACATGCTCCTTTGCTGTCTCCCACGTGAGTCACATGCTCCCGTGCCGTCTCCCATGTGTGTCACATGCTCCTTTGCTGTCTCCCACGTGAGTCACATGCTCCCGTGCCGTCTCCCATGTGAGTCACATGCTCCTTTGCTGTCTCCCACGTGAGTCACATGCTCCCGTGCCGTCTCCCATGTGTGTCACATGCTCCTTTGCTGTCTCCCACGTGAGTCACATGCTCCCGTGCCGTCTCCCATGTGTGTCACATGCTCCTTTGCTGTCTCCCACGTGAGTCACATGCTCCCGTGCCGTCTCCCATGTGTGTCACATGCTCCTTTGCTGTCTCCCACGTGAGTCACATGCTCCCGTGCCGTCTCCCATGTGTGTCACATGCTCCTTTGCTGTCTCCCACGTGAGTCACATGCTCCCGTGCCGTCTCCCATGTGTGTCACATGCTCCTTTGCTGTCTCCCACGTGAGTCACATGCTCCCGTGCCGTCTCCCATGTGTGTCACATGCTCCTTTGCTGTCTCCCACGTGAGTCACATGCTCCCGTGCCGTCTCCCATGTGTGTCACATGCTCCTTTGCTGTCTCCCACGTGAGTCACATGCTCCCGTGCCGTCTCCCATGTGTGTCACATGCTCCTTTGCTGTCTCCCACGTGAGTCACATGCTCCCGTGCCGTCTCCCATGTGTGTCACATGCTCCTTTGCTGTCTCCCACGTGAGTCACATGCTCCCGTGCCGTCTCCCATGTGTGTCACATGCTCCTTTGCTGTCTCCCACGTGAGTCACATGCTCCCGTGCCGTCTCCCATGTGTGTCACATGCTCCTTTGCTGTCTCCCACGTGAGTCACATGCTCCCGTGCCGTCTCCCATGTGTGTCACATGCTCCTTTGCTGTCTCCCACGTGAGTCACATGCTCCCGTGCCGTCTCCCATGTGTGTCACATGCTCCTTTGCTGTCTCCCACGTGAGTCACATGCTCCCGTGCCGTCTCCCATGTGTGTCACATGCTCCTTTGCTGTCTCCCACGTGAGTCACATGCTCCCGTGCCGTCTCCCATGTGCGTTCTCCTCATGCCCGCCCATACGCGTTCTTCCTTACCCCATCCCATACGCGTTCTTCCTTACCCCATCCCATACGCGTTCTTCCTTACCCCATCCCATACGCGTTCTTCCTTACCCCATCCCATACGCGTTCTTCCTTACCCCATCCCATACGCGTTCTTCCTTACCCCATCCCATACGCGTTCTTCCTTACCCCATCCCATACGCGTTCTTCCTTACCCCATCCCATACGCGTTCTTCCTTACCCCATCCCATACGCGTTCTTCCTTACCCCATCCCATACGCGTTCTTCCTTACCCCATCCCATACGCGTTCTTCCTTACTCCATCCCATACGCGTTATTCCTTGCTCCCTCCCATGCACATCCTTCCTTACTGCATCCCATGCTTCTCTCTCCCATGTGCTTCACCCCTAGCCCCATGTGTACGCTCCTTTGCCATCCCTCACAAACCTCACCCCTACGCCGTTCTCTCATGTCGCCTTTTTACGTCACCCCACCTCACCCTCATGCAAGCAGCTAAAACGCCCGTCCTCATATAGGCATATGATAGCCAAACTGTATATACGGCTCTCACACTTTCTGGGTTTGGCACTACGAATGCTAGCTCTTCACAGTCACTGTAGCTTCGAATGATTCCCGCATTTTGGCCTTGGTTTCATCAAGAGCAGGCTCCTCATTGGTTGATGGCAAACTACTCCAGTCACATTGCTGGTTTCACTCACTTCTCTGCCCCCAGTCATTAATTTGTTTCGGTACTGTGGTCTCCTCCTCAAAATTGCCCAACTGTGTGCACTGTTTCCAACACCGTACTCTGTGCTACCTGCAGGGCTTGAATTGGGGCGACGTCATCGTCTTTGCCAACTGGGCGCTTGCTGTTGCCAGCTCTAAAGGTGTGCACACACCCCACAACAGTCATGTATTAGAAAAAGCATTGAGTGTTTCATAAACTGAAAATGTAGACCATTACAAACCCAAAATTTCTTGCCCTTGTGACCATTCTTTCGACCGTTCTCATTAAGCTTCCATTCCATTCTTGCACGGCTACCTCATTTCTGTTCCCCCTTCTAAGCCCCCATTTCCATTTCCATACCGACTTCCATTCCCCTTCCCTCTACTACTCCCCTTGTCTCATACCCATTTTTGTTCCCATTCCTCATTCATGGAAATAATCGCTTACTTGGACTCATCAGTTCCTGCAAACTTGTGCTCTTACACATTGCTTTAGAATCTATCCCTGTTACCCTTCCCTTCATTTCTCTTCCCTCTCGTGCAGCCATCTACCAGCTCACCGCTGGAATCCCCAAGGGAACCATCACCCACCGCATTGTTGCACTCCTTCACACCCTCTACGGCATTTTCGTCTGCAGCTACATGGCCAGCGCCTTCTGTGCAAGTGTGCATGTTTTACTAGTTTTTTTCCATCATTTATTTAGAAAGCCTTGCTGCAGTGGTCGTACATTTCATTCTAGGGCTCTGTGCCTCTATGCTGCCCACCCCTTTATGTTCATTGCATCTGCCTCTGTTGACTGTGTTTTCTATGGCTGTTCTTGGTGCAGGTGATGACACTATCAGGCACATACTCGGCCTACAGTGGCATGTACTGTACAGGTACTGTCATTCCAATTCTCCTAGTTATTGCTAGAAAGGCATAGTGCCGTCGTAGCGGAAGCCTTGATTGTATGATAGAATAGCAAGAGAAACCTTGCAACTTAAAGGATTCAGGACAATGGATTAAATTGATTATGCCTCCATACAGCAGGGTATTTATCTATGCAGCTACCCTGCCCACAGTCCATCCATCCACACCAATAATTGTACCACCAATAATGGTAACTCCAATAAAGGAGTACCAATAATTCTACCCTCAGACCTCTAGACTCCAATAATGCAGTCCCTTGCTGTAGATTTTAATATAAACTTACTGGGGTTCATTTTTGTGGAGGATAGGAGGATAAGGTGGTAACGTT